GCCCGATCGCCCCTGGCGAGCCGTGCACCGCCTCGTGGACTGCGAGGGCCAGCCTGAACTTGGAGCTGACGCCCGTGCCCACCTCGGCTAGCATCTGGCGCCACCGCCGAGCCTGCGAACTGCCGCGTAGCTGCCGCTCAGGCGGGCGGAGGGCAGGCGGGGGCGTGCTGTGGGCCGCGGCCTTAGCCGTGTCGGCCCTCACGCTCAAACCCAGGCCGTCCTGCGAGCAGTGCCCGTGCCGCGGCTCTTCCCCGTCTTGCCTTTGCCGCGGCTCTTGGCAGCCAGCGGCCTCCCGATGCGCGCCTTCCACGCTGCCTGGGCCTCGCCCTCGCGCCTCGGGTGGGCCGCCTTGTGCTGCGCGAAGCTCCGGCTCGCCGCCGCCTCCGCTGGTGGCACGCGGGCGGCGGCTGCTGCGTCGAGGTCCCCCTCCGAGTCGCTCAGGAGCTGGACTGACCGCGTGGGACTGCGGCTGGTCCTCCGCGCCGCTGGCGGCTTCTTCTCGGCGGGGGGAGCTGCGGGACCGTCGCCTGGAACGCGTCCGGCAAGGATCCTCATCGCCTCGGCCGATCCCGAGACTGGCGTCCCGGTAGCAGGGGGCGGGGGGCGCGCCTCCGCGCGCCCATGGCCTGCAGGTGCCGTCCCCCCCTGCAACGGAGACGGCTCCCGGCCAGACCCCTAGCCCGGCCTGCGGTCTGCAAGCCGCTGGCGGAGTTCGGCGACCTTCAGCTCCCGGGCCTCGACCTTCTCGGCGGCGTTCTCCTCGTCCAGAGAGGCGCCTGATGGAAGCTGTTCCTGTGCGACCAGCGTGAGCCACCGTGCTGACCGCCAGTTCCCGTCGCGGATGGCCATCGTCCGCGCCTTGAACTCCTGCATGAGCAGATCCGCAGTCTCGACGACCTCTCCGCGCAGGATGCCGTCGAGCGCCAGCCCCAGCGTGCGGAGGACCCGCACCTCGTCTGTCCCCAGCGTGCGCGGCGGGTGAGCAACGAAGAACACCGTGTTCAGGAACTGCGTGACGCATGGGGCCAGAGGGTCGGCTTCGCCCGCGGACAACTGCTGGGTGAACTGGCTGCGCAGGTGGCCGAGCCCATTCTCGAGGAGAGCACCAGGCCGCTGCCGAGCGATCCTGCGGAACAAGTCGCGCTTGATGTTCACGCCCTGGTAGCGATCGCGGCCCCCGAGGCGCTCCGTGTCGCTCTCCGCGCCGTCCTCCGCGTCGTCGTCGTCGCGCCCCAGGAGCGCAGCGGTCAACGCTGACGCCAGCCTGCTCCTCGATCCCGAGGCGCTGGCGCGCGCAGGGGCAGCAGCGGCGGCTCGGCCAGCTACCACCTGCGCCAGGCGCTCGCCCACGGCCCCTGCTGGGCGCGCGGCATTCTTGGGCGTGCCCTGCCTCGGCGCACCACGAGCTGCCTTGCCCCCGAGCCGCACCAGCCGCGCCTCGAGCTCGGGGTCCTCGGCGGTCTCCTCGAGCCCAGCAAGCTCCTGGTCGAGCGGGCTCGTATCTCCTGGTCCGCCAGGGGTCTGGGTGCCCTCCACCTCGCGGGCTCGCTTGCGCGGTGGCCCGCGAGGCTCCTCCTCGTCCTCGTTGGCCCCGTCCCCGAGCGGCCAGCCGCCGAGCTCTCCAGGCATCGGCTCGGCCGAGGGCGCGTCGGTCAGCACAGGCGCTCCAGGGTCCGCGGCCGGGCAGATGAGCTTCGCCTGCTCGCGGGCCACATCGCGGGGGTCCACCACCTGCCACACGTCCAAGTGCTCGACCACTGCGCCCACTGGGGCGACCGCCCCGCACTCGGCGGCGCTGCACTTGCAGAGGTGGAAGACCGTGGCCAGGGGGCGCGCGCCCTGCTGCCCGGAGGAGGCTGCATACCATGAGAAGTACGGGTCGCTGGCGCCCACGTGCCGGCCCTTGAAGAAACGGCCGAAGGCGTCCGCTTGGTAGGCGACCTCCACTTCGAGCATCTCGACGCCCTGCGGCGCCCCGTCGTCGTCCTTGACGCGCGCCAGGACCCGTGCACCAGCCCACAGCGGCAGCCCCGGCACCAGGTCGCCGTTCAGCGCCGCGTCGAGCCAGGCCCCTCTCGGGAAGGGCCACCCGGCGGCACCCGGGGCTGCCCGCTCCATCGGGCTCCTCGCCAGCAGCGGCGCGGGAGAGGGGCGACCCGCGCCCGGGATCCTCGTCTCCCAGCCAGGTCTTCGCTCCCCTCAGCCCGCAAAGTCTGCCAGCGAGGCTGATCAGAATCAGTCGTCCGAGCGTGGCCTGCACGCGGCCGCGCTCGGCGCGGCGAACTTTCAGTAGACAGAGTGGCTCGGCAGCGGCCACAGACGGGCGGCACCGCCCGGTGACTCCGCTGCCTGTCTCGAGCCAACACAGCTACGGCAGATGGATGAAACTCAACCGTTATCCATCAACGGCGTCGCGCACGCTCAGGTGGACTCCGCATAGGTTTCCTTGGAAGGTTCATATATATACATATGCGTATACATATACCTATGCCTATACATACAAATATACGTACATGCATACATGCATATCTACACATATGCCTACAACCATACATGCATGCATGCATGTATGAATACGTACACGCATAAATGCATACGTATATGTACACATGCAAACCTATATATCGATGTATATATATATACGTATATATGTGGGCACCTGTATATGTATATACATATGCATACAGACAGACAGACATACGTACATACATACATATCGACATACATACACACATGCATACATAAACGCATGCCTGCATACATTCCTAAATGCATGCATGCAGACATACAAACATACGTGTGTACGAACAAACGTGCACACGTACCTACATGCACGCACGCCGTATATGCATGCATGCATGCATACATACATACATATACCAGATGTCAGTCAGCATGGACCCAAAACAGCACGTTCTTGCAAGCTAGGGGATACCATCTACGTGGTGCAAGCTAGGTGGTGGAACTATGTGGTACAAGCTGTGTGGTGCAAGCTGCGTGGTGCAACCTCGACGGACCCCCAAAGCCCGGTAGGAATTTAACGAGGCGGCAACGGGCGGCGACGCGGCGAAACCTCTACCGACCCCCCAAGCGGGTGGCAACGAGGCGGCAGCGAGGCAGCAACATGCGCCTCGACGGACCCATTCCAGTGGGCGGCAACGAGGCGGAAACGAGGCGGTACCGAGCGTCGACGCGGCGAAACCTCGCCCGACCCCCCAAATAGGCGGCAACAAGGCGGAAACGAGGCGGCAACGTGCAGCGACGCGGCAAAACCTCGACTGAACCCCCAAGTGGGCAGCAACGAGGCGGCAACGAGCGGCAACGAGGCGGCAACAAGCGGCGACGCGGCGAAACCTCTACCGACCCCCCAAGCGGGTGGCAACGAGGCGGCATCATGCGGCGTCGCGGCGAAACCTCGACGGACCAATCCAAGTCGGCGGCAACGAGGCGACAACGAGCGGCGACGCGGCGAAACATTGACCGACACCCCAGGCGGCTGGCAACGAGGCGGCACCAGGCGGCGACGCGGCGAAACCTCGACGGACCCATCCAACTGTGCGGCAACGAGGCGAGAACGAGCTGGCATGGGCGGCGACGCGGCGTAACATCGACCGACCCCCCAAGTGGGCGGCGACGAGGCGGCAACAAGGCGGAAACGGGCGGCGACGCGGCGAACCCTCGACGGATCCATCCAAGTGGGCGGCAACGAGGCGGCACCGAGGCGGCAACGCGGCGAACCCTCGACGGACCCATCCAACTGTGCGGCAACAAGGAGGCGCCGAGGAGGCAATAGGAGGCGACGCGGTGAAACCTCGGCGGACGCCCCGAGTGGGCGACAACAAGGAGGCAACGAGGGGAGAACGAGGCGACAACGGGCAGCGACGCGGCGAACCCTCGACGGACCCATCCAAGCGGGCGGCATCCGGGCGGCAACGCGGCGTCAATGGGAAGCTACGCGGCAGAACCTCGACCGACCCCCCAAGTGGGCGGCAGCGAGGCGGCACCGAGGCGGCAACGGGCGGCGACGCGGCGAAACCTCGACGAACCCCACGACTGGGCAGCAACGAAAAGCGGCAAAGAGACGGTACCGGGCGACGACGCGGCGAAACCTCGACCGACCCCCCATGCGGGCGGCAACGAAGCGGCAACGAAGCAGCACCGGGTGGCGACGCGGCGAAACCTTGGCGAATCCAGCCAAGTGGGCGGCGATGAGGCGGTAACGAGGCGGCAAAGGGCGTCGAAACATCGCAGGACCAGTCCAAGTCCTCTGCTAGACAAGTAAGCCCCTAAGTGCGAGTACTGTTTGGGGAATGCATGCATACACTATGTATATATATATATATATATATTCCCCCGCATGCACTCACCGCAGGGATACCTGGTAACTGCAATAGCTGGTACGGACGGCGACGGCGAGAAGTGCATGAGCACAGTGCGCTCAGGCGCTGAGCGTCAGCACTTGAAGCCGCACGGGGCCCCGCGCGGGGCACGGGAACGACACACGAGCGGCACCTCCGTCAAACGCTCACCGTGCTCCCAGTGGATCTCGCAGCCGACACGACCGCGACGGCCCAGGATGGCCGAAAGCCGCCACGATCCGGATGAGGCAGCCTCCCGTTTCTTGCTGGCATGGATTCTGGCGTCCTGCACCGCGTGGCTCGCTCAGCCTGAGTAGTGGGCATCGCTCAAGGTTGGCTTGGTTCGGGAGGCCACTGGCCTTAGGTCGGGCATGTCCCCCTACAGGCGGATTGTGGACGAACCAAAAAAAATCAAACAACAGTCGACAAGGATCCAAAAGTACTCAAACAAAAAACTCGTCCCCTGACTGTGATCTATGTTTCTACTATTTTTGTGCATTCCCCCCGTAGAGGGACAGGCCTGGCTTAAGCCTTGAGCCCTCACGCCAGCGTCGACGCGGCGCGAGGCTGCCGGGCCACCGCCGCGGAGGCGGCCAGGGTTGTGCGGGCGCCCGGCCCGGGCCGACGGGGGCGGCGGCTGAC